TTAGTGTGATCAATGTATCATATGCATATAGTTTTATTTTTGATTCTAGTGTTTGTAATACAACTCCTTTAATATTTTATTTTCCCTAATCCTATATGCAAATGGTTCTAAAGAAATTATATAGAGCAATGGGGAAAGTGGACACCCTTGACGTGTTCCATTCAATAGTGGGAACCATTCAGAACAGATGTTTTGTCCTACAACTCTGGCTGATGGTGATTTATAAAGGGCCATTATAGCCTTATGCATCCACCCATCTATGCCTAATCTTTTTAAAGTCAGACTCAAATATTTCCAGCCGACCCTGTCGAAGGCCTCCTCTGCATCCACCGACAGGGTCAGCATGGGAAGACAAGTTCTATTTACTAGTTCCAAAATATTCAAATCTTTCTAGAGTTCATGTTAGCTGTTCTATTTTGAATAAACCCAACCTGATCAGGGTGTATAATATTGTCTATGACCTTCTTAAGTCTGTCTGCCAGTATTGATGCATATAACTTTAGGTCATTATTCAAAAGTGAGATGGGCCTATAATTTTCCATTTTAGTAGGACACCTGTCATGTTTCAATATTAGTATTATATTGTCCCTTAATAATTCCTCTGGAAATGTTCCTGTTTGTGTTGCTTCATTAAACATTCCTACTAGATGAGGAAAAATAGGTCACAAAAAAAGACCAGTATATCTATCTGGTCCCAGAGTTTTTTGTCTTTTCAATCTATGCATTGCCCAAGCTAATTCCTCTTCTGTAATGCTCTTCTTTATTTTTTTGTTTGAGTTTTGGACAGTTTTGGGAGTGTACCAGCCTGAAGATATTTTCCATTAATTCTTTATCTCCATTTTTTAAAGTTATATAATGAGCCATAAAAGGATTTAAAAGCTTGTGCTATTAAAGTTGGATTATATATTGATCTATTATTTTCTATAATTTTTAAAATTCGATTATTAGCCTTTTGATTTTTTTGTCTATTTGAAAGGAGTCTGTTCGCCTTTTTATTTTTGTTATAATAGCTCATTTTTAATTTAGACATATTCATCGCAATTTTTTCTCTAAATTTTAGATCTATATTTTCTTATATTTGAAGCACTAAATAATAAAGGAAAACATGTACCTACTAAAGATATTTGTTGTGTCTGTTTTCAGTGGGTTTCTTGCAAGAAAGCAATATCAATATGCTCTTTTATCAAAAAGATTTGAACTATGGATCTCTTTTGTGGGAAGTTTACTCCCTGTACATTGATCAATGCTAATCTAACCATTCTTTAATAAGAAACCCCGTCGATCCACCGTGACCTTCCATGCGACAATACAAAGACATAATACTACAAAAGCAACATGTATTTCCACCTCTCCATAGAGATAAGAGTGGGGAAAAAAACAGTCCATAAGAAAACAGGAACTCCGCACCCTTTGCAAGTTCCATCCAAACGAAATTTAAATACCCCAATTTCGTTATACCATCATTTATAATAACAATTAGAGGGCCGTAAGGGGAGCATTCTTACTGCATAAAATTTGAGACCTATTTAACATGTTTGTCTCTACCAATTTTGTCTAAGTCTAGTCTTAAACTTTCTGGTCTCAAACCCTATTAAGAGATAAGAGGGGCTCCTCAATTCTCAGCCCGTATAATAAGAAGGTACTGAGCTCCGATTCTCCGGTTTTTGCTTGCAGTCAAGCCTCTGCCCAGTTTCTCCCAGTCAGTCTCTCCCAGCTCCAGGTGAACATGAGGGCCACTCCTTCCTCTGATCTGGCACAAAATTGCGGCACTGGAGAGCCAGCCGTCGCCGACCTCCAGTCTCACACACTCCCACTGCCCGAGCCCGGGTACCTATCCTCCTCTCACCACCCACAACCGGGTTTATGTTTTCGCATCTCTGTTTTCGTATCTCTCAAACGGTCTCACTCTGCTCGCCTTTTCGCCAAATGGCATTCTCAGTTTGGCGTCTTCCTATCCTGCTCCACCTACTCCCGCCTGTCAGCGCGACAACCTTACATCATGATGCTGTGCCTGAGCCTCCGAGATGTTCCTAGCCGTTCATATTTTAATCGCAAATAACTTTTTCTATGTATGAAATAATTTTTACATTTACCTTTTGTGTAATTATACCTAAATTCCTTTAGAATGTAAACTCTTTTCAGAAGAGCACTTATCACCTACTGTTCCTGTATATACTTGTCTTTTTGTAACAACTTATTAGTTTGTCTACCTACTGTACAGCGCTGCAGAATTTGTCATCTCTTTATAAAGAAAAATAATAATTATTATCTATTTTCACACATACACTCAAAAATCATATATATATATATATATATATATATATATACTTGCTTTTAAAAATATATATATATATAAAAGCAATGGATGGGAGTGCTAAAATAACATATATAACGGAAGGGAGTGCTAATATAACACACACCCATCCATTGCTTTTTTTCACTGTCTGGCAATTTGAATACTGATAATGTGTAAGGCTGATTAGTCCTGTCAGGCTACCTACAGGTTAGCAGTCCTCATTTCAAATTTCTGACAGCAATATATGCTGTTTCATGCTTCATTCACAATCACTATGTTCAACATAAACCAGGGTCATTCTCTATATCGAAATTTTTGTCTCCAGGGTAAAAAAATTAAAAAAGGTGAGATTGGTGCTTTAACCTTGCTGGCCTTAGAAAATATGTTTTAGTCTGATACATTATACTAGTGGGAATTATTTATCAAGAAGATACAAGCTCGATATTTCAGAAATAATGAGATGTTCTGCTTTTGCAGCTGAAATTTTATGGTCTGGAGAGCATCCGCCATGAATCCAATAGAATTAAGTAAACTAGCTATAAATGACATCTCATGCAGAAATGTCTACATAAATAGTTATCTGAGAGTATTCTGTATCACAGCTAGACTTATATAATATTAAAATTAATGTTTTATTGAAACATATGGTCCCAGACATTGACCTGTTGTTCTGTTTCTAAACATGGTGTATGCGACCCGTGAAACGCTGATATTAATTATATTGAGAACAAGTTAATAATGCTGCAGAGTACTGTATAAGCTCTTTTGTTTTGTGGCAAGCTTTTATCACATTGATCTGTGGTTTTACATATCAATCAACACTATTACAGCAGATCTTTTACTTGAAAACAATTGTACATAAACCACTTACTTCCAAGATTTTCACATTCTTTCAAATGCAAAATATTAGAATATTTCTTGATTGAGCACTGACATAACTAATGTATTTCCTAGTAATATTTTTACTTCTGTGAAAATGATGCAAGACACAAGATACAGATATTGCCCCAATCCCAATTATCTGTAATCATGAACAAATAATTAAATAATACTATATTTTTATTCACATTCACTACTGCAAGCACTGATTATGATTAAAGTATGTCTTACAACAAAATAAAAAAAATTCTAAAGTGAGTAGAAATGTAAAATGTATTATAAGGAAATGTAAAATTTCTGCTGAATTTGAGACTAACGGTTACCTTTGTATGTGTACTGGTAAAATAAGAGCAGGCATTATGAGATCTGAAACTATCAGATGGCTTTTTACAGACCACCAGTCAGGGCTGGACTGGCCCACCGGGATACCGGGAAATTTCGGCATCTGGGGGCTGCGCTGAGTATGTGTGTGCCACCGGGTGGCCGGTCCGGTGGCACACACTCTGAGTGGGCCGGTGGGCTGGCGGCTGCATTCCACTCTGGAGCCGCCAGGCCGAGTGGCAGCCTCACTGGTCCGGCGGCACTTCTCCTGTCACTGATGGCTGAGGAGTGAAGGGGGAGGAGGGAGGAGCATGTCTCTGTACCATGCTCCCTCGCGGCTCCCACAATCCCCAGCACAGGAACCGCGAGGGAGCATGGTACAGAGACATTCTCCTCCCTCCTCCTCCTTCAGTCCTCAGCCATCAGTGACAGGAGAAGTGCCGCCGGACCGGTGAGGCTGCCACCCGGCCCGGCGGCTCCAGAGTTGAATGCAGCCGGCCCCCCTGACTCCTCTCAGGTAAATGGGAGGGGGAAGATGGGGAATAAAGAGACACAAAGGGAGGGGGGAATAAAATAGAGGGGGAAAGAGACAAAGGGGAGAGAGATGTGGGGAGAGACAGGGAAAGGGTGGGATAGAGACACACAAGGGGAGGGGGAGAAAGAGACAGGGGGAAAGGATAGAGACACACAAGGGGAGGGGGAGAAAGAGACAGGGGGAAAGGATAGAGACACACAAGGGAAGGGGGAGAAAGAGACAGGGGGAAAGGATAGAGATACACAAGGGGAGGGGGAGAAAGAGACACACACAAGGGGAGGGGAGAAAGAGGAGAAGGGGAAAGGGAACACACAAGGGGAGGAGAAAGAGACAGAGGGGGAAAGGATAGAGAGACACACACAGGGGAAAGGATAGAGGGGGGGAGAAAGAGAAGGGGGAAAGGATAGAGACACACAAGGGGAGGGGGAGAAAGAGACAGAGGGTGAAAGGATAGAGACACACAAGGGGAGGGGGAGAAAGAGACAGAGGGGGAAAGGAGAGAGACACACAAGGGGAGGGGGAGAAAGAGACAGAGGGGAAAAGGAGAGAGACACACAAGGGGAGGGGGAGAAAGAGACAGAGGGGGAAAGGAGAGAGACGCACAAGGGGAGGGGGAGAAAGAGACAGGGGGAAAGGAGAGAGACGCACAAGGGGAGGGGGAGAAAGAGGCAGAGAGGGAAGGAGAGAGACGCACAAGGGGAGGGGTAGAAAGAGGCAGAGGGGGAAAGGAAAGAGACGCACGAGGCAACAGGGCAATTCCCCCCCCCACGAGGGTCTCCCCTGCCAGCCAATCTCCCTCCCCGTTCCACAGGCACCGTGCGGCACACACTGCCCCCCATACACACACTGCCCCCACACACACCATACATATTCACACACTGCCCCCCATACACACATTGCCACATACACACATTGCCCCACACACCCTACACATTCACACACTACACCCCCCCACACACATACACTGAACCTTTCACACACACTGCACCCCTCACACATTGCACCACTGCTCCTATACCATATCCCAGCAGACCCCAGATAAGTTGTCAAACTGTTCTTAAACGGTTTGACTACTTACTCTGGGAGGGAGTCCCAGCACTCCTGGCACCATAACCACTACACAGAGCAGTAGTGGTTATTGTGCATGGATTATTTCTTTAAATAATCTACAAGTGCCCCTCCCGGGATCAGGCTCTGGATCCACCACTGGTATATGACATGTATATTAATGTGTATTAGTTTTATTTATATATTTATATATATATATATATATATATATATATATATATATGTATGCCTATTATATTTACACATATATTAATGTACATTTATATATGCATAATACACAGATAAATGTCACTAATATGTACCATTTGTAATGAGCAGATATTGTCCCAGTCTTGTTGCTAGATGCAGACTCCATCACAATAACATATTTAAAGTGAAGAGCGCACCCACAGGACTTCAAAATAAACAAGATAACGTCATTTTTTTACAGTTGTGCCCTACGTACATTCACCATTTCAGTCCCATTACCAAGCTTTCCTTGATATGTCAAGGTAGTTGGACTGAAACATTGATTACATGCAAAGGCACGTCTGCTTAAAATAAATCTGCACTTTTGTTTATTTTAAAGCCTATGAGTGTTTTTTTTTAACGTTGGAGTAATAATTTTTAATTTTAAGTTCTCTTTTCTAACTCTGTATCTGCACACTATGCTGGCGCGACGCATTATGGGGCTGGTAAATATTTTTTTTCCAGGGCTGCTTTTAATTCCCAGTCTGGCCCTGCCACCAGTGTAATAAAAATTATAGCAATTTTCATAAGGCTAATCTCCTCTTTAGACTCAATAAGCATCACAATGTTGTGTCACAGTAAGTTCACTCATAGGTGTTAACAAAAAACTTCTAGGGAAAAATAAAAAGACTGTGAACATACTGATAGAAAAATGAAATTGAAGGTATAAGTACTAGAATGATTTTCAGGTAGCTAAGGCTCTATCAGAAATTACATTAGGAATCAACGTTCAGAAAAGTAACTCTGGCTAAAGTACTAGAGAAATGTAGCGGAGCTCAGTACTAAACCTGAGAATCTCCGCTTGTCTCCCTCAATTTCCCTATAGAATACCAAGAGGGATTATACCTAGAGTGATTATAGCAAACCTATTGCAGCTCACCCAAAAATCAGCCGAGACTTGAAAGGTGAAACAAGTACACTTTATTGCATGAAAACACATATATTTAGACAGCTTAAATGTGCATTAAACCTACAGGATGTGATTAGACTGTCAAACGGTGTACCCTCCCCAGCCCAGCCCAGCCCAGCCCAGCCTGGGGCTTAGTTGATCAGGTCAATAGCTAATGCAATCTGCCATCCCCTGGGACCTCTGATTCCTGGCACCCGCAATTCTGGGTTTTCCACTCAGATCACCCTATCCCCTTCAATCAACATATCCCTGGACAGTTCAACCCCCCTCCAGCCATCTTCGGTCTAAATAGTAACAAAATATTCTGTGTTTAACAGGCGCTTAAAACAAATTATAGGTGCTCTTTTTGATCCAGCAGCTCTCACACAAAAAATAGGAATTCTCCAATCCTATTGTGATCAGAATGTGAAACTATGTACTATTTGCACAACCAGTGTGTAATAGTGAAAATGTGTAGCGCTATAATATTAACTTACTCCCCAAAATCCTTTAGGGGTGTAGAGAGTAGTAGATGCAGGTAGTCCAGAGCCCATCAGGAATTTGGCTCTAATCACTCTTGTCTTGTATCTTTAAGGTTACACACACCCTTTGAGTCCAAATAGAATATACTCCTCAAAAACAAAGAGAGAGAGAACAGGGAAATCTCGCCCTGGTGTTGAAATCCTTAAAACAGCAATATATAAACATGCATGTAATGGTGAAGGTTGCTTCTCACCTGAATTAGAGCCTATGACTTGGCTCTAAGTAAATAGGCATATGAGTCCTTTTGGGATGACTCCTTCCCTCTTTAACAGGATAGAAGATACACCAAATATACGTGTACTTTGTAGGTCGTCTTTCGTTTGTAGCTCAGCACCCACTACCTTGAGATCAGTAAGGTAGTGGGTGCTGAGCTACAAACGAAAGACGACCTACAAAGTACACGTATATTTGGTGTATCTTCTATCCTGTTAAAGAGGGAAGGAGTCATCCCAAAAGGACTCATATGCCTATTTACTTAGAGCCAAGTCATAGGCTCTAATTCAGGTGAGAAGCAACCTTCACCATTACATGCATGTTTATATATTGCTGTTTTAAGGATTTCAACACCAGGGCGAGATTTCCCTGTTCTCTCTCTCTTTGTTTTTGAGGAGTATATTCTATTTGGACTCAAAGGGTGTATGTAACCTTAAAGATACAAGACAAGAGTGATTAGAGCCAAATTCCTGATGGGCTCTGGACTACCTGCATAATACTCTCTACACCCATAAAGGATTTTGGGGAGTAAGTTAATATTATAGCGCTACACATTTTCACTATTACACACTGGTTGTGCAAATAGTACATAGTTTCACATTCGGTCTACATAGTGTCTAAATAGTCTGTGTAGTGTGTGACCGAAAAATGTTTAGGGTACGATGAAAAGATGTATTCAGGAGACTTGAGTTCTCATCCCCTGGTCAGAGTACATACCAAGGCAATTTTATTACCAGATGGCTGGCATTTGGGGCACTATGCTAGGCTGTGCCTGCTAGGTAAAGTGGTAAAGGGGAAAACCACAGGATGACGCAAAGTGATTTTGAGGTCCTTTGTAACAAGAAAGAAAATTAATAATAAGGATGACTGGCTTATTAGATCTTAGCCATATGTTTTAGCAATTCATACCTCCGAACATTTCAAATGGACAAAGAGGGTCACTTTTATTTTAAAAGTGTGAGTGTGGCGAGGAGTGTGGCTGTTCCAAGAAACTTCTCATAGAAAAATATTTGCTCAAAGGAAAGGGAGATTTGTGCCCAAAATAGGAACCTTTCCTTGGGAGTTATGCACTACTTGTGTTTTCAGGGCAATTAATTCCAATGTACCTTCGGACAATTCTCTGGTTTAAAAACAGTGCTGCTGTCTTCCACATAGTGACAGTAAAGAGAAATATAAGGCCAACATAAGAACATGCTTCTTGATTTTATCTTGACCTTTAATATTACTATCACATATATTCAGGGAACCCCACTGAAATATTAGCTAGCCTAGATGGACATATTTTTGCTCAACTACATTAACCTAAAAGTGCTCTATACAATAGCACAGCTCTGCCTAGTGTATAGTCTTTTGAATATGGATAGGAAGGTCCAGCATGAGCTTAGAGACTCGATGTTAACTTCCAGCGACAGCAACTCATTGAACTAGGAAGAAAGATTTTTCATTTCTGCAGCTGTGCCCCTTGCAAGATCTGTATAACAAAGTATTTTTATTATAGAGAGAATTGAAATTAGATTTTTGACAATTTCTCAATGGCGATTCTGTTGCATGTTTTTTTAACATTTAAATAACAGCACTGTATTTCTTTACATCTGCATTTTACATTTGCCATTTTAAGTAACAATTATTTTAATACAAAATTATACATACAAATATTATACAAAAATTTGAATAATTCAAATTAAAATAATGTTAAAATGTAGAGAAACTATTTATATCTGCATTAAAATGAATAGTTTTAAAGCTTAATGGAAATTACTTTGTAGCATACAATAGCATAAGACTTGCGTTTCCATTTTTCATTAATATTTTTTTCCATATGGCCTTCACCTTAAGTGTTTCACCCCAGTGTTCTTGAACTGCTGTTGGCTACTATTTAGAAGGATTATGGGAAAACGAGTCTTGAGAAAACAAAGTGTTTTCAAAATTCCACTCTGCAGCTTTCAGACTGTTTCCATCAGGCCTCTTATTCATTTTGATTTATTTCCATCTATAAACAGACTAGCACTTTTCTATTCTACTATTGTTCTTCAGAATGGTTCTTCTATTGGAGAAAAATGATGTCTCTGCGACCACCACTTTGCTCAGAGCAGATCTTCATTAATCTGCAGCCGCAGTACAGGCTTTTAGCAGCAAGCACTGTTGATGGGAATTGAATTTGATACTGCATTATAGTTGTAGGGCTTCTTACAATAGGCTGCCTTTTTTCCTGTCTCTATGCACAATCAGAGAGACCCAATTAAATAATTTGGTGCAATAATAGAGAACAAAAGACTATGAGGACTTAAAGTGAGGACTTCAGCATTTGTGCTCCCTTTTCTGTATCATGTTAATTAATTTGCCTCTGAATCCAAAGACACAACACAATGTAGAACAGCATAGCTCATCTACAACATGAGGGCATTTTAAACTCAGCTATAGCGCTGAATGAAATTCATACAAAAGGGTCATTCTTTTCACAAATAAAAACTTGAATGTTTCAGAATGTTGAAGTGTATTAAAATAGCAGATTGTAAATGCCATTTCTACAATCCTTATAATTACCTGGAAAACCTAGCATATAATGAAATGTAATAAAACAAAGAATAAAACTAATTAATTGCTTAAAAAGTGGAAAATGGTCTCAAATATCTTTAAGTGACCTGTCTACTAAGAAAGCCACATTCATGTTGTGAACATATTTTAAACAGCTCATTAAATGTACAAGGATACATATGGACAAACCGTCAAAGTCCAAGGTTCTAAGGGTATCATATAGACAAGGATGTGTTTCAGTCACACTATACTTGCTTGCAAAATAATAGAAACTGAAAATAAGTGAAATGTCATTTATATAATGTTCATTAAAGCAAACTGTCATTTAAGCAGTTCCCTATCACTACAGGGAGTAATAAATTCTGAAAGGATGATAGTACAGAATGATATCAAGCTGGACTCCTGGACTAGAGCGTCATAAATGCTTCTAACAAAGGCCACAGAAGCATCCATATATCACTTGTATTGTTTGTATTAGTCCCATTCAAATAAACCTTAAAGGACCACTATAGGCACCCAGACCACTTCAGCTCAATTAAGTGGTCTGGATGCCAGGTCCCTCTAGTTTTAACCCTGCAGAGAAACTGCTATGTTTACACTGAGGGTTAATCCAGCCTCTAGTGGCTGTCTATCTGACAGCCACTAGAAGCCGCTTCCGCGATTGTCACTGTGAAAATCACAGTGAGAAGACGCTGACGTCCATAGG